GGGCAAATGTTCACCACATGCTTTCCTCATCAGAAATTCTCTACCACTCCTTACTTTTCACCTTCTTTCCTTCTGCCCTAGCTGTTTTGCCATCTGTTTAACCCCAACTCAGACTAGGGTGGGGCTAGACATATACCTAGTGCCAATATTTGAGGAGGCACTCACTCTCAGGGTGGTGTAAATGCAGAGACGGCACCTGCCCTGAGAATAAGTGCCCTCTTAAATCATGTGCCCTGTGTCGTGCAGCACCCTAGTTCAGATGCAGCTACTATAACTACACACACACACACACACAGAGAGAGAGAGAGAGAGAGAGAGAGAGAGAGAGAGAGTTTAAGCAAAGCTCTTGAAAATGCTTGATACAGCTCTTATTCTTAAACCTGTCTCCATATAAGAATCACTTGGAGAGCTGTTAAAAATCCTGATGCTCAGACTGGACTGCAGATATATGAAATTAGAATTTCTGGAGATGGACCCAGGCATCTGTATTCTTTATTTTATATTTAAAGCTCTCCAGGTGGTTCTCAAGTGCAGACAAGGTTGAGAATCAGTGCCTAAGAAAAATGATATGCAAACTGAGATGACTTCTGTAAAAACTCCTCTGGAGTTCCAGGAGAATCTGAATTCCAATCGTTTTAGTTTAAAGAGTGGCAGATGATTAAGACACCCTCCTCACGTGTAGACATGCATCTCTTCATTCATTCATTCAACCAATACACACTGAGTGCCTACAATGCCCCACAATGCAAGGGGTGTCAGATCCTCTTCCCTCCCCCTTACACAAGCTGGACAAGTGAGGAAGAGAGACAAAAAAAATAGTGAAACCTGTAAGGAATATTTGCAAACTCTGGCAAGTGCTATCAGGAAACAGATGCTGGGAAAGAACAAAGTGGAGAGGAGATTGCCCTGCAGAAGCATTACCCAGCAGGCCCACCCAAGGATCACCTCACTTCCTAGGGATATGGACTTCTGCTCTGACTTACTGTTTACTCTTGGTTGGGCATTTGATAATCCTGAACGGGTAGATATTAACTTGGAAAAAACTGTTAGTTAACAAGTAATTCTTGTCTTATGGCAATGCAAATACCTTCATCTTAGAAAAAAGTACAATAGCCAGGTTGCACTTATATTACCCCATAGGGCATTAATTAGCTTTATACCTAATTTAGCAATTCTGTTCCAGCATCTTTTCTTTCTATGACTATAAATAAATCTGACTATACTTTCTTGAGCCAGTTTTACCATATGCTGGTTCCTTCATGAATTAATGAAACTGACAGAACTATTTTAGGTAGGATAACAGGGACAGACTCTGAATCCTGAAGGTTGGGAAGGAGCCAGCCAGGGGAAGCAGAAAGGAAAAACAGATCCCTGGGAACCCAAGACCGCAAGATAAAATGGGCATATGGCCTGCAGCAGGAAAGAGGTCACCCAGAAACGGGTAGAAGGCCACTGAGACTGGGTAACATGTAGTGAGCAAGGGGTTGAGGTTTGAGATGAGGATGGAAAAGCAGGGAAGAACTAGATTGTGTAGGGTGTTACAGATCAGTGTAGGGACTTTGAATGTTTTACAAAGCACAACAAGCAAACTACTGGAGGGTTTAAAGGAAGAAGATGGAATAATCTGCTGTGTATTTTGAAAAGATAACACTTTCAAAAGTAGGAAAAGAGGCTGGGTATGGTGGCTCATGCCTATAATCCCAGTACTTTGGGAGGCTGACGCAGGAGAGTCCCTTGAGTTCAGCAGTTCGAGACCAGCCTGGGAAACATAACGAGACCCCCATCTCTACAAAAAGACATATATACTAGCCAGGCATAGTAATGTACGCCTGCAGTCTCAGCTACTCAGGAGGCTAAGGCAGGAAGATCATTTGAGCCTGGGAAGCAGAGGCTGTAATAAGCCGTGATCATACCAGTGCACTCCAGCCTGGGTGACAGAGTGAGGCCCAGTCTCAAAAAAAAAAAAGTTGGGAGGCTGAGGCGGGCCGATCACTTGAGCTCAGGAGTTCAAGACCAGCCTGGGCAACATGGCAAAACCCCATCTCTACAAAAAATACAAAAATTAGTAGGATTAGTAGGGAGCGGTGGCGCATGCCTGTAGTCCCAGCTACTTGGGGGGCTGAGGTGGGAGGATCCCTTGCACCCAGGAGGTCAAGGCTGCAGTGAGCTGTGATTGTGCCACTGCACTCCAGCCTGGGTGACAGAGCGAGTCTGTCAAAAAACAAGCAAACAACCAACCAGTGGGAAAAGAGACAGCACAGTAGAGAAGAGGGGAGGGGCTAGGATGCCAATCCATTGTGGTGTCCAGGTAAGTAGTTGAAGGTTACTTGGTCTAGTAGGGGCAAAGAGATAAAGGCAACAGGGAGTGAGATTGGAGCCACATTGCTAGGACTTTTGATGAATTCTATTAAGGAGTGAGGGAAAAGGAGGAATCCAGGATGACTGCTGGGTTTCTGGCTCGTGCAGCTGCGGATGGTGGTAGCATTTACCAAAACGGGAAGGACCAGGGATTAGAGGGTCACACACGTACACACAGGTGCATGTTATTCATGACATAAGGGTATCCATCCACAACTCCCTGGGTATGACGCCCTAGGTGTGACAGGGCTAACACAGTCTTTCAGATTAGGTTCTCACAGAGTGATCTCTTTGGCCTTCAAGATTTGTGTCATCAAGCATTAAGCTAATAGATTTCAAGCAACAAACTGGAAAATTCTAAGTGGCAGCTCAAAGTTTGGCCCAATCTTGCCCTAATTCTTATTCAACATATGCTAAATGCAAATAATTTTTATTCAATCAATCCTTAAACGAAGGAAGATAATTCAGAATTAACTCTGGGTATATATAAACCCTCAGAGGTTAAAAGGCAGCAACTGGGTTTATAAAATAAAACTGAGAAAGCCTTATATTTGTGATAAACTGTTAATCCTTTACACAAGTGATAACTTCAACAATCACGCTCCCTGACCTCAGGAAATTAAACTGTCAATCTGGGCACAAATCAGGTAAAAGACTTAGGTCTAACTTAAAATCAGTAACAAAAGTGTCAAAAGTTTATTCTGTATATAATAAAGCAGCTCTAACTTTCCCAGAAGATAAAATTGGAAGATACTATAATAAAGCTTAATGATCATTTACAATGGAAAAAAACTATCAGTGCCTACCACAAATCCAAATTCAATGTGATGCAACTTTCAACTAATCAAAGTAAATGACCGCTATGTCTTGCAACAATGAATACTAAGCCTGCCTGTCAAATGACACTCCATCAAGAAACTTATTTCAAAGAACCAAATTCTGTCATACCAAGGGATGCCTTTCAAGTCCGATATTTTTTCCATTCAGAAAATATTCCATAACAGATTACCGTCAGCATCTTACTAAATAGAAAAAATTGAGACAAGGTTATTTTGCATAGAAATTAAGAGCATGGGGACTGGAAGTAGATCCTGGCTCCAAATTCTACTAACCTTACGTTCTTAGGTAAGTTACTCAACCTCCCTAAAGTTCAAATTTCCGTATTTGTAAGATATGAACAACGGCAGCACCACAGTAGAGACCCGCAGTGTGCAGCCATAGTAGAGACTCGCAGTTGTCCTCTCCTTGCAGGCGCAGGAGAGAATTGTGTTCTCCCATCTGCTCTGCGTTGAAACGGATTAATGTGACAAGTTCTGGCCAACGCAGTGTGGGCAGCAATAACTTCAGTCATGTCTGGGCCAAAGCATTTAACCGCTAGGGTGAGATACTCTTTCCCTGGTGTGGCGATTATGGGAACAGGTGTTGTGTCGGAGGTGCCACAAGATAAAGCAGCCACGATCACATGGTCACCACATAGAGGGCAGCTGCCCTGGAGGGTCACCCTGACCCACTGCAAAGTGGAAAACGAACCTCCATCTTGTTGAGGCACTGAGATTGTGACATTTGTTATCGCAGCTTATCCTAAGCAATGCAAACTGACACAAGTACCTAATTTAGTAGGGTGTCATGAGAATTAAATGAAACAGTGTCTGGCACACACTAGCCCCCTGATAAAGATTAGCATGATGAGTGCCACCTCCTGATGGTTAGGGTGAAGGGCTTGGTCTTCCATAACCAGCCATCTATGGAATCTTCTCAGCCATTTGGATTGTCCTACAAGGTTTCCATGGGCTCACCATAAATCCTGGTCCACTTGTATGTCTATCAGAGACTTCTCAGGACAGGTGTGAACAGTTAAGAGGTTTTTAATCTCAGAATGAGAAAAAGAAAAAAAGTTCCTGCATACCTGTATGGACATATGAAAGTAATCTGTATCAAAGTGAATTATCGAGGACCTTGGCACACCCCTTGAATAATCACCTTTTTCATACATATTTTTAAAACCAATCCGGAGGCAGTAGAAATACTGCTAACAGGGGCTTTGCTTTTTGTTTAAATTGTAGAAAGTGCTCAAGCATATAGTGGGCTGAGGGCAGGGATGGCAAGATGAGAAAATATTAAATCAGAACCTTAAGAAGATAAATTCATTCTGCCAAAATTTTGGTAGCACCCAAGTACTTACCAGCATCAGAATAGTGCTTTGGAAATTAAAGGCTGAGCACTGGCAGGGATGGGAAAGAGAAAAGGCATAGTTCCATTCAAACTCCCTTATTACTCCTCCCCTAATCCCTAACAGAGCCTTCAATAACATTATAGATACCTCAAGTGGAAAATTAAACTCAATGTGATTATTTGCCACAGGCTCTAGAATTCCTGGCCCAATCCCATCCTGCTAAAGAATAAAATCTATTTTAACTGCAAATCAGTTAAAATGAACTAATCTCAGGTTACTCTCGGAATTTTTCCCCATTTACAAAAGAAAGAAACTAAGCTACCTACCTGCTAAGTTTTCTTATTTCATTTTGCAGAAGAGTTGGAGGAAGCAACGAGAAATTCCAGAAAAGTTTAAATCCATTAAAAATGATTCTCATAAATAAGCAACTCGCCATGGACAATAAAACATACAAATGTGAGATACTCACCACATTTAATACTCTCTATCCGCACCGGGAGGCCAGATTGTGCTGCAGCAATTAATTTCAGGGCAATGTAAAACTGTGTTGCACCAAAATAACCAACTCGCTTTGCACCACACAGTTCTGTGATCTGAGAACAGACAAGAAAAACAATGCTGAACACCCAATTTCACAACAGGAAAATGAGACAAGATAAATGATGAAATCTCAAGGATTTCACCTAGTGGCTAACCAAAAAAGTCCCTTGAGAACCTATGTGTGCCCGCTGGTCAGTTTCCTCTTCTTCCTTCAGTTTACAGGGAGGTTTTAAATTCAGACTACTAAATTCTACCTACTCATGATGTTTCAGAAGTGAGCCACTGATTATTCCTCCTCTTCCAAAGAGAAAAATAAAGGTGACAAAGGACAGCTGTTGCTCTACTTACAAAGGAGAGTGACTTTTTCAAGGGGTGAATTCTAATGTTCAAAGTCTAGAAAGTCACTGGGGTGAAAAGAGAACAGATTAGTCATTACCACTACTCATGGATTATTCTAGTTTATCTAAATTAAAAGTGAATTAATTATTTTTATAAAGTCCTCAGGCAAAACAATTTCCTAATCTTGGAAATTACACCTTGGGTGCTCAGTTCAGAGGAACAAAAAAGTTCTATATACACATTTTTCAAGACATTGCATTAATTGTCGGTTTCCATCCCATCACCTGGAACAATGACATCCTCCTCCCCACCTAGATTGAACTCAAATGTTACTTTGCTGTAGCTCCTTTCCACCTCCCCGATACAGTATATTTTCCCAGTGTATTCTCAGAATACTCTATCCAAGTATCTATTAATGTCCATCACATGATACACTGTCTTAGACTTGCTTCAAAATAAAAGGGGGAAGGTGAGGAAGTGGGGCACATGGGTGAAACAAACATAACCAAGAGTTAGTAATTGTTGAAGTTTGGTAATGGGTTCATGAGGGTTCAATATCCTGTTCTCTGTACTTTTGAAAATCTCCATATTCAAGTTTTCCGTGACTATTTCCAAATGTATCACATTATAATTAATTATCTGTTTATCTCTGCCTCCCATTAAAATGTCTTCTCTTCAAGGCAGGGGGCAACTTCCATTCATCTCTTAGCATAAGGATAGGCACCCAAGATACAGTCAACAAATTCTCAATCAAGTGAATGAAACCTACCCTCAAAAATAAAATGTCTCTGAATTTTATAATGTAGCCCTTATTGTGAATATATACATTACGTATCTTAAGATACAGACTATCCCACACAAGGAAAAAAACACACCAACATTAGTGTAGTTCCAACATTGAGATAGTTGTCTTGCAGAATAACTCCTACTATTAAGAAATTGTAGGCCGGGCACAAAGGCTCACGCCTATAACCTCAGCACTTTGGGAAGCCTCAAGGAAGATCGCTTGAGGTCAGGATTTCAAGACTAGCCTGGGCAATATAGCAAGACCCCATCTCTACTTTAAAAATAGGAAAAAAAGAAATTGTAATCCTTGGTATGTGAAAAAATTAACAACTATATTATGAGTAGATTATGAGTGTTAATCTACTATCAGGTTAACTTTCAGTTGCTCCTTTACCATAACTACCACATCAAACTGGAAAGCTCTTTACTACAGGTAACTGAAATTGCTGGTGAAACATTTATGGTACTTGAAGACTAATACCTTAATCTGACATTAGTAAACGGCCTTATTTACCTGAAATCTGTCCTTTGGTCCCATATCACCACTAGAATCATTGCTTTGGAGCCAAAGTAGAATATATACACATAAGTGAGTTAAGCCCATAGGTTACTTTCCTTGCTCTTTGTACACCAAACCTCCAAGAGAGATACCAAGAACATTCTGAAATATTCAAGCCTCAAGGAAGAGAAAAGAATTATAAGCCTTTGGAACTTACACATGGACTTCTGAATCAAAACAAAAAAGGTTAGTTCTGAAAGGTTTTTTTCATTCATCAAGGTTCAAAGTTTTCTAAGTTTAAAATCTCCACGGAAAAGCTCTAAGTTGTGGGTAGAAATGTTTAATGGTATCTAAAGAAAATAAGGTGAAAAAAAGTTTATCCCAGATACTCAATTAGTGGAGATGTTTTATATAATTGCTCCTTCAAACAGTCCAAATCACTGGGCTTTCCTCAAAATAAAGGGGGAAAAATGAAAAGATTCCACTTCTCTTCTTTAGTCTAAACTCCAAACCTGTAATACTCCCAGCTGGATCCAACTCGCAGCTGGATCCATCTTAGGTTACACATTGTGCAAATTCCTAATACAGAGTAAGAACCTATGGGCCAGTGTTTTCTCAGGTGGAAGGCAAGAGATGAAAAAAAGGAATAGATTAAATCAACTTCCTTACAGCTTACAGATGTACACTAAACGTCTGGGATGCTGGATACAAATCAGAAAAATTCACCGATCATTTGGGAGAAATCTGAACAAAGTTCTGGAAGAAGGTTGAAGGCCACTAACATAGCTTCCCTCCTACCTAATTCTATAAGATTAGGCGACTGTGCTGAGTAACCAGTCCACACATGTTCCAGTTTGCCTGAAATAATACTTTCTTTCCTGGCTGAAATGTAATACACTTTCAGAACTGTTCAAGGGTTTAAATAAGCTTCTCTCAAGTATTATTAAAGGTTTCCTTAGAAAGATTTTAAAATGTAAAAACTCTTAGTGGGAGGGGCTGGAAGAATTCTCCAAGAGCACCCCTATTTTCTACTCTCCCTCTGCTGCAGCTAGCAAAATCCAGATTCTATGCTCTCGCCTCGACTGTTTCAAGTCCTGTCTCAAGACGCACACCTTCACACACCAGCTTCCATATTTCCTCCGTGACCTCTTATCAAAACCACATCACCCTCCAACTTCAAAGGGCTTCCAGGACTCTTCATGCCTTTCCTGTGAAACCAAGCATGGCTTCTGAGGTCCTCCTGTCTGGCCCAAACTACCTTTCCAACATCATCATGTCTCTCTCCTCCCCACCCTGCAGCTAATGAAGACTTTACTCATACTAGATGCCCATTTCTTTGCCTGCCAGGCTCATTCTTCAAGTCACCTCAAGACCAACCTTATCTTTGTAGTCAATTCCACATGGCATGTACTCTGCATTCCCATAACACTTTTTACTAGCTTTCTATCACATCCCTAGCCTTGCAACACAGCACAATTGGCATTTTGATAATTATCTCCACTGTAGCCCATCTCCTTTCCCTATGCCCCAAGTGCTTAGCAGAAGACAAGAGTATATTCTTATTATTTACATCTCCCGGGGACTCATATTTTACTATGCCTGCTGTATGCTCAGTAGCTCAACAAATGAATGTTGAATTAGTCTTCACAGCCTGTTGCAGCAGAATCTTTCTTCTTCCCCTCCTCTTGTATTACTTTTACAAGTAGCTGTTAAATGGGCTTTAGTCATCTCACACTATATAGCCATAAGAGTTCCTGCAGGAATATAAGAGAATATTAATTTCTCTGTTCCCTTTCTGCTCAGCTAAGAAGATACTGATTAGGGTCAAGGCATAAGGAAAGGCAACTGCCATTCTTTATCCTGGCCCTAGCCCTCATAGCCCAGGAGAATACTTCAGTGATGCCCCAGCCAGTCAGAACTCCAGAGATACACCTTCATCTACTCAGCACAGCCCCAGGGGGTGTCAACCCTCCCCAAGTGGGCAAACTCAGCAACAGAAATACAGAAGAGAATCTGAAGTACATGCTTACAAATTGTACCTCAGCCTCTCAGGGAACAGCTGAAAACACAGGTCAACCTCTATGCTGGGTTTTCCCTTCCCATTCATTTATACTTTAACATTCAAGAGAGATGTTCAGTCCAGAGGGACATGGGTGAGCTACTCAAGAAAACATGAACCCCCATATCTGATTACCCAACATTAGGCATTATAGTATATGCCTAAGCCAAACGACACTGCTAAAGAGAGGGCAGACAGGCAGTGCTGAGGTGTGCTTTCAGAGAATCCTACTAAAACCTTAAAGTACTTGTTAGTTTAACAAGTTTTGATTGGGCACCTCCCCATCAAAAGCAATGTGCTGAGTGCTATGCTAAGAACTGAGCAGCAATGCACAGAATCACCTATTCTACATACACACACACTCACACACATTCTCTCTCTCCCTCCCTTCTTCCCTCCCATTTTGCCAAACCATCTGAAAAGTGAGTTGCAAACACACCTCATGACACACCCCCAAGTACTTTACTATTCACCTTCTAAGAACAGGGATATTTTCGTACACCACTGCACCATCATCACCACACCCAAGGAAACCAACTTTAACACAATATTATCATACAACATGATACGGTTTGGCTGTGTCCCCACCCAAATCTCAACTTGAATTGTATCTCCCAGAATTCCCATGTGTTGTGGGAGGGACTCAGGGGGAGGTAATTGAATCATGGGGATTGGTCTTTCCCATGCTATTCTTGTGATGGTAAACAAGTCTCATGAGATCTGGTGGGTTTATCAGGCATTTCTGCCTTTGCTTCTTCCTCATTTTTCTCTTGCCACCACCATGTAAGAAGTGCCTTTTGCCTCCCACCATGATTCTGAGGCCTCCCCAGGCATGTGGAACTGTAAGTCCAATTAAACCTCTTTTTCTTCCCAGTCTCAGATATGCCTTTATCAGCAGTGTGAAAACAGACTAACATACGACATATGGTCCACATTCACATTTCCTCGATTATCCAGAAAATGCCTACAGAGCTGAATTTTCTTTTCCACATCCAGGATTTAATCAATGTTCATGCACTGCATTTTTATCTTATTTTCCCTTAGTCTCCCCCTAATCTAGAACAATCCCCCTTGGTTCTTAATGACACTGAATCATTTAAGAATCCAGGCCAGTTGTCCTCAGAATGTCCCATGTTTTGGATTTGTCTGTTTTCTTGTGATTACATTAAAGTCAAACGTTTCTGGCAAGAACACCACACAGGTGACACTGTGATATAGTGAGAGGTACACAGCAGTGAGGGGTACCAGAACATCCCACCATTGGTACTGATTGCAAAGCTTGGCCATTTGATTAAGGTGGATCTCTTCATTGCAAAGTTATGTTTTTACATTGTACTTTAAGACCATGTGAGCATTCTATCCCTTGAAAA